ATCCTAGGAGAGAAGGAGGCAGCGTGTTCAATGGGGCTCACACCTCCCACATCACCCCCAGGGCTGGGCCGTGATAAGGAGACACCCCTGAGAGCAGAGCCTGGGGCTGGGACCTCCGAGTGTCCTCTCACCTGTCACCAGCAGGTCCAGGGTGTCACTGGGCTTTGACCATCCAGCAGTGTTGTGATAATAACAGCGATATCGCCCTGCATAGTGCTCTGTCATGGATGGGATGTTGAACTTGGCCTTGTTCCCAGGCTCCAGTGGTTTCTCCGTGTGCCAGGACAGTAATCTTCCGTCTTTCTCCACATGGTACTCCTGGGCCTCCAAGGTCCCCTGACACCAGATGGTCACAGGGCTCCCCCAGGCGATCAGAGAATCTGGCTCAGCCCAGATTGTGGGTTTGGGGAGGGTAGCTGGAGGGAATTCAGAGGCTGGGTTAAAAGAAGTCCCCACCCCTCAGATCCCAGGTCTCAGTCCCGGACCCCCCAGATATTCCCGTCAGTGAGCCCAGAACTGCTGTTCCCCATTCCCAGCTGTCCAGGGGTGTCCCCTTGTCCCCAGGGAGGAGGGAGCTGGGACAGCTAAGGACAGACTCACCTGCCTGCACACGGGTCCTGGGGCCCAGACTCAGTCCTGGAAGAGAGTTCCCTGTGAGAGATTCGTCCCCTGAAGGCTCAGCATGTCCTGTCCTCCCCGGGAGCCTCCTGAGCCCCTGGGGTCTCCTGCAAGAGCAGGGCCTGGCTGTGGGGTGGGGTGCCTCCCAGACCAGGTCTCCACTCCCCTCTTCCCATCTCACCGACGCAGAGCAGGGCCGTGAGGGTGGGGATCATGGTGTCTCCCCCCACTGGCCCCGGCTGTGCAGATGGATGAGACCACGGGGCCTGCAGGACAGACAGACACTTTGGGCTGTGGCTACTGGGAGGGAGGCTGGGTCCTTCCCGTCATGCGATTGTCCCATCAACAGCCCCACAGGAAGGGGAACTGCCCTCCCCAGAAGGCTGTTTCTCATTTCCCCAGGGCTGGGGCTGGGGCAGGCACCAGGCTCTCTGCAGACATTTCAGACAGAGATGGGGTCTCCTTGACCCCCAGCCACCGTCTGCCTCATCCGTCCTCATCTTACTGAAGTTCAGAACGCAGAAGGAAACAGACCCAGAGCCTTCTAGGTGAGGGTGATGAGGGCCCCTCCTCCCTCTCGGAGCCTCCCCACGGGGCCTCCTTCCTGGGAGTCCTCACCAGGCAGTCGTCTCCCCACCCTGGGGATGCCTCAGGGAAGCTGCAGGTTCGTGCCCACGGCAGACTCGGACCAGCAGAGACACATGAGCATCTGACGGTGCAGGTCACGCTGAGCTGCCGTGTGGCCGTGAGCACAAAGGGAACATACGGGGCAACAAGGGGAGAAAAACGACTCCTCTCCTGGCCGTGGACTGTGGGTTTTCGTTCCACCAAACGGTCCCCTTCTCGGGCTTCCCCTCCCCTTTGACTGTTTTCGGCAGCAGCGTCACCTGCCCCTCCCTGGGAACCAACATCTAAGCCGCTGCTGCCTCCTCAGCCCCTGGTTTCCTCGGGCATCACGCTGCACCTCAACCGCTGTTCAGGGTTTGGGGAGCAATTACTTGTGTTTGAGCTCTGATGTGGGGAGTTGGGTGGGGAGTTGATTTTCATTTAATTCCTGATTGTCCTCCACTGCCTGTGTGAGCTGGGCAGTAAATCCCCATCTCTGAGCCTTAGTTTCCTCATTTGGAGCGTGTGGTCAGGACCCCCATCCTCACAGAGGAAGTGGGGTCAGTGGTGTCTGGGGGATGGGAGGGCTCGATCCTGGTTAATTACAGGCCAGGTTAAGACAGGAGGGGTGGGGTCATGAGAGGATCCTGGCGCAGCGACGCCTAGTCTAGGTGGACAATGGATGCCCCCAACTCCTCCCAACGCTGAGAAATGCACATACAGTGTGTCTGAAATACGCAGATCCTCAACATCATGAGCAGAAGAAGAGATATGAAGGTTCCTGAAATGGAGTCGTATCCACATCAGAAAACAGAGGCCAAAGCCCGGTGGCTGCAGGTACCTGGGACCGTCATGGGGTCCTTAGGGTGGAGGTTCCCACTGCTGTGGGGACGCAGGGAGGGGGCCCAGGGCTGCACGGCCAGGGCGGGGGCAGGGCTGTGGACGTGGGTGGGAGGCGGCTTTGTGCAGCCACACCTGAGGCTGGGGTGGACCCAAAAGCAGTGCAGGGCGGTTCCCTCATGGACTGGTCCCGCTCCCCCAAGATGGGGCTGGTGGGATCCCAGAGAAAGAGGCGCTGGACGCCAGGTGTTCGGTCCACAGCGTTTATTAGGAGGATTCCAGACAGAGGGGTGCAGCGTGTCCTCGAGACTGGCAGCCAGACGTTAGCTGTTCTATCCAGGGATTCAAGCTGTGAAAAACAAAACAAAACCAACAGTAGAGGAACTGATCTCTACATTCAGTCATCCTTTGGTATACGCGGGGGATTGTTTCCAGGACCCCACACACATACCACGGTCAGGTGGAGGGAGGAGCAGTCACACTGGATTCTTGAAGCTGGCCATGAAGGGAGTACGTACACACACTAATCAGCAGATGCCACAAACACAGGCTTTTTAAAACACATGTTTAACCAGGGAGCCAGTTCATCAGCACGCCACCAGACTTTTCCATCTCGCGTGTGTGGATTCCCAGCGATGACATTTGTAGAGAAATTACACAGGTAGCATTTGATGAAGAGTGATGGGTATAAGAGCTCATTTTGGACTTATCCAAGCAGGAGTCTGACTTTTGTCCATTTATCTAGCTATTTAAACCCAGTTCCATGTTTTGAGCTGAAAGGACAGAAAATCAATTGCATAGAACAGGGAATGTGCTGGTTAAAAAAAAAAAAAATTGTCACAAGACAGTGGAGCGGAGCACGTGGTGCAAACAGACGTGAGCTCAAACCTGCCCTGGGGGTTGAGCCTCACGTCACAGGACGGGACGGAGGGCGGGACGGTCAAGGAGGGTCAAGAAGGGGCGGAGGGCAGCAGCACAGAGGGGTGGAGGCAGAGTCCTCTGCAGACACGCAGACCTCCGCCTGCACCCGACCCTGTGTCCTCCCCGCGACATTCTCAGCAGACACTTTCCCAACTGCTGCCCCGGACTTTCTTCCGGAAACTGCTGGGATCATCAGGTTTGTTGATGTCACTATGACTGGTACAAATGTATTCTGTGTCTTTGAGAAGGGGGAAGTTTGATAAAGTCACGTTGCCCGACACCGAAAGGTCCTGTGGCCGAGGGAAGTGACCTGGGGAGGGCTGACAGTTCTCCTGGGGTCATGTTGTGTCGTGTTTTAAAAGTTTGAAAAATTTGTGGGAGTTTGTGGGAGATGGAACGCAGAAGTACTTGTGTGCCCACTGGGTCATTTTATCAGGACTTCAATGTGAGAGGTCGTGAATGAGGGACGATTTGGTGCGCTGGCGATTTTGGGGCAGGACAGGGCATAGGTTGGGCTTCCACCATAGCCAGGTGTCCTGATCAAAAGTGCTGCCTTGGTTAATCCATTTCCTCCTTTCTGCTTTTGGTGATGGAGCTTGGTAGTCAGACGGGGGAGGCTGACCTGGGAGGTGGGTGTGGTCAGGTCAGGAGCAGGAGCCGGGAAGAAGACGACAGTCAGAGGTGGTGGACGTGGCTGGGGAGGGGCTGCCTTAGTGTCTGGGTCCACCTGCGATTGCCCAGAGCCCAGGACTGTCGGTGGGGGTGGGGCCTGCACCTTAACGTCAGCCGAGTCCTCAGGAGCCCGTGCGTCTTGAGTGGGGGCTACAACACCGTCCTTGTTCTAATCAGTCGGCCGGCACGAGTCAGAAAGCCTCGCTGTTCCCAGCGCATCTGGACACCGTGAGCCGCTCTGAAGGCAGCGCGAGTGTCGCATAAACGCTGGCTGCCTTTCCCTGGGCCCGAAGGCAGGCCCTGGCCAGGCATGGAGTTCAGCCTGCTGGGCAGACTTAGCGCCGGGAACGGGCCCAGACTGTGTTGCATCGTGAAGGGAAGTCACAGAAGACCGGTTGGTCGGCACCTGTGGGGTCTCTGAGGTCGGACCCATCATGAAGCCGTCGTGCTCTGGTCAGGAGGGGGGTTTCGTGGAGGTCCCCTCGGGGCATCGGGACTTGGACTGTGAGACCCACGGTCGTGACCTCGTCACCGGGGAGAGGAAGGAAGGTAGCAGGCGGAGCGCAGCGCAGCAAGGAGGGGAAGGAAAAGGATTTCCTGGTTGGCGAGGCGGCGGGCAGAGAGGTGCTGAGCGTGGTGGGGCTGGGAAGGGCTTCCACAGGTGAGGGACACAGACCATGGGTGGGGAGCCCATCACTATCTTTTCGGTCGTCTTTCCTGGGGCGCAGACAGCTGCATCCGCACGTGGACAGGGGGTCGCTCTGGGCTGCTGATCAAGGTGTTGAGTATGGCACCCAGTGGGGCAGTGTTGCCCACCGCGGCCCTGAGCGAGGACACCACGCCCGTGCCTTCTCGATCGCGAATAAGAAAAAGGCCAGTTATAGTTGGGGTGGCCCAGAATAGGGGCCAGGGCCACTGGTGTTTGATTTCCTCAAAGGGTGTTGAGATTCGTAGGTCCATAGGACAGTGTCTGGGTTAGTTTCTTTAAGAAAGTCATAAAGTGGTTGAATTAATAGAGGAAATTTAGGGAGCCAGGCATGGCTGTAGCATGGCAAGCCCCTAGAACTCATGCAATTGTCTCTTTATTTGGGGAACGTGAGACTTAAAATGCCTTGGAGTCTTTTATGGTCCATATCCAGACCATGGGGTGTTATGAGGTGACCCATGAACTTGACAGAGATTGCACAGACTTGGAGCTTTGGTTTGGAGACCTCGTGTCCCTTCAAAGCCAACCTGTGAAGGAGGCAGAGCGTGTCCTGTAACAAACATCCTCTGGAGGGGAGCAGAGGAGCAGGTCACCCCCATCCTGCAGCAAGGTGGACTCAGGAGGGAACAGGACAGCAGCCGAGTCAGCTCTGAGCACTGGGGAGGCAGGTGGGGCTGTCAGTGTGGCCCTGAGGGGGCAGCGCAGTGTGGTGGCCGCCCCAGGTGCAGGCAGGAGGTGTCTACGGGAACGCTGAGAAAGGCACTGCAGAGACCTGAGGCCGAAACACGAGCGCTGCCGGGAGGAAATGTGTGAGAGAAGCGTGTCCGGGTCCCGCAGGGCAGGGTGGGGAGGTGGACAGTGTCGCCAATGGCCCCGTGACCCTGCGGGCATCTCCGACACTTCCCGGTTGGTTTGTGTCCAGGCAGGGCGGGTGTGTCGCAAGGGCTGGGGCAGGGAGGCACAGGTCTGCTCTGGGTCAATTCCTCCCCGGGGGAGAGGGGAGAGGGAGAAAGAGGGAGATAGAAAATGTGTCCCAAGTGAGAAACAGAGAAATTCAGTCCTGATGCAGCAGAAGAGGGGAAAGATGAGGAGGAGTACAGGGCTAGCAAGCAGATCCCTGGGGAATTAAAGTTGAGTACAGATAGAAATTAAATCTCAGGACAAGTTAAAATCGGGCAGGACGGCCGGGCACCCACCCTCTCTGGGCCAGGACAGAGACCTCCCATTTTAAAAAATATTCTTTTTTCTAATATATAATAACATTTAACTAATACTTGCTTTTTTGGGTTATTTTATTTTCATATTGTTAAAAGCATTCATAAATAATAATTGTATATATTTACCGAGTACAACGAGATGTTTGTAAATGTTTCCATTTGCAGCTGTGTCCAGGCGGGGTCCTTCCAGAGACTTGCCCTGGGCAGTCTTGTTGTCCATTGTTGGAAAGACACCCACACAAGCTAAGCCAAACGGGACGCTCCCGCCCCCTAGTGGTGAGCAGGGTAATTTTAGTTTTAATCTGAGTG